CCTCAAAACAAAAACTAAAGATCTCTGCAACTTGGCAGAAGCTCAGTGTGGAGTACTTGTCAATTCCAGTAATAAAACATCTGCATTGAAAAACCAAGAATGTCCAGTTTGGGTTTGGCACATAGAGGGGATTTTCAAGCCTTGGCAAGTAGTTCGTCTAGGCAGCTGAAGAGGCTCTCCAGCTTTGTGAAAATCACTCTCCCTTCCCTCCTCATGCAAAGTGACAGTTCGCCACTGCAGCCGTGTCCCGGCTGCCCCACTGAATAGAACAGATATGATTCTGAACATCTAGAAACAAATGGAATCACTTATTTTTTTTTAATCCTCACCCGAGGATATTTTTACATTTGTCTTCAGATAGAGTGGGAGGGAGAGAAGGAGGGAGAGAAGGAAACATCGATGTGAGAGAGACATCGATTGATTGCCACCCGAACGACCCCAACTGGGGCCAGGGACAAACCACGACCAAGGTACGTGCCCTTGGCTGGAATCGAACCCAGGACTCTTTGGTCTGAGGGCCGACACTCTAACCACTGAGCCAAACCAGCCAGGGCTGGAATCACTTTTTAACCCTACAAATTTGAATCCGAAGTTGAGCTCCAGGGAACGAACTGTAAGAGTCTCAGGCAGTCTCAGGAGGGCAACGGTCGAGCTTCACACAGACAAATACATAATAATCTTACCTACGGGGAGAAAATCCAGACTCACTGAGGGTAAAAGGGTGATAGTAGAAAAAGCAGTTAATCTTTATTATTTGCTGACAGCCAAAGCATTTTTCATAGATTATCTCATTTAATTCTCACAACAGCTATATGAGGTAATTTCCATTATTATCTCTGTAAGAGGCTAAATTATTTGCCAAAGATCAATATGTGGCAAGCAGTGGCAGTGTAAGGATTCATGCCTAGGCAGTTTAATTTTAAAGCTATGCTGCTAGCCCTGGGTTAGAGCGTTGGCCTGCGATCCAGGGTTCGGTTCCCACTAAGGGCACGTACCTCGGTTGCAGTAAAATGTCCTCGGGTGAGGACTAAATAAATAAATAAATATATAAATAAAGCTATGCTGCTAAAACATTCATTCATCCATCCATTTACTCATCCAACAATTATGGATTGCCTACTGCATGCTGGGAACTATTCAAAGTGCTAAGATACAACTGTGAAAAATGCAAAGACAAATACATGTCCTCATGAAGCTTACATTCTAGTGGAGGAAAAAGACAGGCAGACCAATAAATAAAATATAAACTAGGCTAGATAGTGATCAATGCTAAGGAAAAAAAACTACACTAGGGAAGAGGGATAAGTACTTGTGGGAGGGTGGCTTCTGAATAAGGTGATCAGGCAAGGTCCCACTAAGAAGGGGACAGTAAAGATCAGAGGAAGCAAACCATGCATTTCTCTCTCTCTTTTTTTCTTTAATTCCTCACCCCAGGATACTTTTCTATTTATCATCAGATAGAGTGGGAGGAAGGGAGAGAGAGACAGACAGAGAGAAATATCAATGTGATAGAACCACATTGACTGGTTGCCTCCCACACTGCCCAACCAGGGCCTGAGACAAACCATAACCGAGGTATCGTGCCCTTGGCTGGAATTGAAACCACGACTCATTGGTCCATGGTCCAACGCTCTAACCGCTGAGCCAAACCGGCCAGGGCACCATGCAAATATCTTAAAGGAAGAATATAATATTTAGGGAAAGAGCATAGAAAAAGGCCTGAGGAAGAAGAAAGAGTAGCATTTCTAGAAATAGCAAGGAGTCCAATGTAACTTGCACAGAGTGATTAGGAACAGAGCAGGAAGAGATGAGATCAGAGGCAAATGGGACCGGATCTTAGAGGTGACCCTTAGGATTTGCGGGTGGTTCTTAGGATTCTGTCTTTTACTCTGGTGTGATGTAGCCATTTGGGTTGGAGCAGAGGAGGGGCATGAAATGACTTAGTCTAAAGAGGACCGCTCTCACTGCTCTGTCAGGAGTCTGTCAGGGGTACAGGGACAGCAGGAAGGAGGCTGCAGCACTAAGCGAGACAAATGGGGTGGCTTGGACTGGTGTGTGGTGATGTGGTAGGTGCTTCTATTCTGGGTTTATTGTGAAGTCAAAGGATTGGCTGACAGGTGAAATGTGTGTGTGTGTGTGTGTGTGTGTGTGTGTGTGTGGGTGAGAAACAGCAATCAAGGGTGACTCTAAGGTTTTGGCCTGAGCAACTGATGACTGGAATTGACATTTTCAGAGACGGGGAAGATTGAAGGAGGAATGGTTTGTATTTTTGTTTTAAAGGGGTGTTGTTTTAAGGGGTTATCAGGACTCACCTCGGGACATATTAACCTGGAGATGCCTTTTGACGTTCAAAAGCCATGCTAAGTGGCCGGTCTGGAGTTTAGGAGAGAAGTCCATCAGGACTGGAGTTACAAGCTCTACAAACTAAACTCTATTCCCTTAGAGTAATTGAAGACACTGGCCTACGTGCAATTTTGGGAAAATGCTGACTTATAAAACATACTAGAACAGTACTAAGAGAAGTCAAATTTAAAAACACCCATATCTGCCACTCTACTAAAAGCTGCTTTCATTTCTCCACATTCCCTTGTCTTTGCCCACATGCAAAAATAATTTTAATAGCTTCAAATAAATACAATTTCATATTTTACTTTTTTCACTTAACATGATCCCTTGAACATTTTTCCTAAGAGGCTCTCATCTGTGTTTCTTGTGGATTAAAAAGGCCAACCAAGTGCTGGGTATTGCTGAGAGACATTTAGAAAATCCTACAGCTGGTATTGTGTTTATTGTAAACTTTGTGGACAATGACTCTCTGTGGGGGTGACTCTGAACTGGGACCTGAATGATGAGAGCTGGCCATGCACCCAATCTGGAGAAGGGCACTCCAGGGAGATAGAACAGCATGTGCTAAAGAGGCAAAAGCATGTGTTAGGAGGCAACAGGAATGCACATTAAGAAGAGTTGCTGGCAGATTCATTTTAACTGACAATTAAATAGAAATTTATTTTATCTTAAAAAATTTTTTTTTAATTATCTTTTAATTAAACTACAGAAGAGTGAGTACACCTTGCCTCTGGGATTCTCTACCAAGGAAGGAGCCATATGGAATAATTTAGAACATAGTGAACCCTAGTAGATAACAATGATTCTTAAAGGTTTTTGGTCTCAGACTGCACACAACCTCTGCATGAAATCGGATTTGTTCATTCATCCCAGTCCCTTACCGGAAACTTGAGTCCAGTCCCTTAATTTTATAGAAAAGGCTGAGGGTCTAAAAACGGTCAACGACCCGTACCAGTCTGCAGCCACTTTATAGAGGGTTTAAACTAGGGTTCAATTAGCTCTGCCTTCCACATCAACGACTCTATAAAAATTAAAACATGATTCAATGCACCCGACTCCATCTTTGAGAAAGCTCTTTGTTAGCTGGGAAATGCCCCACCCCTCCGGGCTCACCTGCCTATCCTTTGCATAGTAATCAAAAGCAGTCAAAGCGGAAACAACTGTCCCTGGCTCCCAGCGGGGAAGGCGGGGAGCTGGTTTACGCTTCCTCCCAGAGACAGCAGAGGGGGCACCAGGCAAGGTTTGTGAGCCGCGCCTCCCCACGCCTCCTCCCCCTTCCTCGCCCAACTTCCCCATAGCTACCGCTTCAACCAAAAGTGGTCATTGACCTTTCAAGCTTTGGAGCAGTTTTGCAATAGAATATTTCAAAGAAAAATGGTTATCGAAATTTTGGATCCGGTTTTCCCGTGAATGTTAATGGTTTTTAAAAGTAGGTCACATTTCGGGGCGGGCGTGCAGGCAAGGAGATGCGTTCCAACTGAGGCCAGGGAGCCTCCAACCGGGTGGGAAGAGGTGAAGGGTCCCCGAGCAGGGAAGAAGTGACGAGGTCTTTCCGAATTCCCGGTCCCTGGGCGCCAGCCTTGCAGGAAATCGCAGAGACGCGCGCCTTCCCGACTGCAGGCACCGAGCCCCAAGCCCAGCACCATCCAGGCGCGCGGGAAAGAGAGCCCCCTCCGCAGGCGGCTCAGGTGAGCCGGGGCCGCCCGGCGGCCGGACGGAGGTGGAGCGGAGCGGAGGGGAGGAGCGGGCAAGGCGGGTGCTGGAGAGCGCGAGTAGCAACGCCAGGAGGAGGGAACTAAGCAGGCGCCGCTCTCCCGCCGCTGGATGCCTTCTAGGACCGGGGCCGAAGGCACCGCCTCCAGCCCGCTCCCTCCGGCGGTCAGGCGTGGACACCAGGCGAGGGGCTGGAAAGGGGCCTCCCCCACCTCTCAAGCGTCTTCTTCGAGAGGGAGGGCCTTTTCGAGGACCTGCGGTCTCTCCTGCCCGCCGCTCACAAAAAATGCAGCCTGGAGGGACGCGAGAAGGGGCAGAGGGGATAGAAAGAGAAACCCGCCGCGGGCCAAGGGACGAGGGTGTTATTCGCTCGATCTCGGCGCACCCCTGGCACGGCCGGAGGACAGGCTCTGGCCGAAACCCGGACGACGGTGGCCGGGGTGTTCTGCGCGTCTCCAAACAATCGGGAGTGTGTCTGTGTTGGGGAGGAAGGGGGGGTCAGAGGAGGGCAGGTTCCCAGGCAGCCGCGCCGCCCTGCCCTGCACCCGAGCGCTCAGAGCCCGCCTCCCCTGAAGCCTGCGCAGTAGCGCTCCGGCCTTTTTAAAGCAGTAGCTGGGCGCGGTCACGTGGTGCGAATTCCTGGAAAGTTCCTGGAAAGCGGCCTCCGCAGCAGTCGGGCGGGGCGCTCTCAGAGCTTGGACCGGGGAGGGAGGCGGGGAGCTTGGGAGGCGCGTCGGGCTGGGAAGTCGCGCGCACACATTGCTCCGGGGACAGACATTTAACTCTTGCCAAGTCTCGCCGCCGCCGCCGCCGCTGCGGCTCGCGGGCCTTGGGCTTCCCTTGAAGCATGAACCTCCTTGCCCGCCGCCATCGGCGCTGCGCGGGCCGCGGACAGTGCGCGCTGGGGCTCCGGGCTCACCGCCTCGGGATCCTCAGTGCCCGCAGTCGGGGCGCAGGAGGAGCTCGGGCCGGGGCTGGTGGCAGGTACTGGTCAGAGGAGCCCGAAGGCTCCGCCCCAGAAGGGTCGCTGGGGAGGGCACCCAGGCACCGCCGCGAGCGCCGGGCGGCCTTGGCTTCCACAGTTTAGAGCCGCCAGGGGAAGAGTCCGAGCCGCGGTTCTGCTCCGCTGCCGGGAGCTACTGCCGGCTTTCTCCGGTTCCTTCCCGGCGTCGGGAAGTCTCCAGAGTTTTTTTTCTCCTAAACTGCCATCCAAATTAATAATCTTCCTAATAACCTGATCTCCCGCTCCTCCCCACCCTCCTGCCTCCCGCCCTGGCTCCTTACTCCTCCCTCTGTCCTTCCCACCTCCTTGGTCGCTGCCGGAGGGAACCCAGCAGCTGCCCGGGGTGGGGGAGGGGGGTGCGAGCCCGGGAGGGGGTGTTGGAGCCCAGGGGTTCTAGGCGATGATCCTACGGCCTTTTGTTTGCCCTCTGCGCTGAGAACTCCGGCCGCTGCCGCTGAGCGCCGGTCTCGTTGCATCCCCAGGCATCTCAATCCCATATTAAAAGTCAACAGGGGAAACTCGGGCCAACACCCCTCCTTTCTGGGGCCCCTCCCGGCTTCCCCGCCCCAGGTCCGCTGGGGAGGCTGCTGAGTGCGGAGACCGCGGCCGAAGCCGAGGTAAGGGCTCAGCTCTGGTTGTCTTGTAGGTCCCGCAGCTCTTGCTGCCGCCTGCTCGGCCCGGCAGGGGCCGGGGCTCCGAACCCCCGCGAAGGCTGCGCGCTCGGGTCGATTCCTCGACAGCGCCCGCGGCGGCAACAGCAACAGCAGCAGCCGCTGGGCCCCGGGAGCGGCCGCCACGGCCCCTGGCGGCGCCCCCCACCGCTGCCCGAAGCGGGGGGGAGGGGAGCGAGGCCGCCTCCAGGCTGGCCATGCGGTTACTTGCTCACCTCAGTTCCCCAGGCTGGTGGCTGTGGCCCCACGAGCCCCGCGGCGCCTTAGGGCGGGGAACTGGGTTTGTGCCTGGCACTTTCTCCTGGGGCTCCCCAGGCAGTGCGAAGTGAGAGATAAGAGTGCAATTTTGAGAGTTCTGTTTTTGCCTTTAAACAGTTTTCCACTTGCCCTTGACTAGGGCATATTTTACCACTGTGTTTGCAGGTGACTCTTTGCTCTTCCATTCTGCTAGCCTGCGATTTCTGTGAGCTGCCCTGGGCGGGAAGACACCCGGTTCCCCACCCTCATCCTGTCTCTCCCGCTCCTCCCCCCCCTCCCCCGGCCAACTCTGGCGTCTCGGATCCCTGCTCTCTCTGTCCTCCTGTCTCTAGAGCTGGGCCTGGGCAGTGACTGGATGCTTGGGGTTAAATGGTGCAGGAGCATAGACGCGAAGAAGTCCCCGGGATTTTCCACGTCGCTGTATTCCTACCTACACCACAGCCAGGGGTCCAGTTCGGACTGATCCAACCCCACACTTTCTCTTTGCAGGCAAACTGTGGGTGACCGCGCCTGCGGGGGACTTTGCCATCTGTCCACCAGGACCTGGGGAGGAAGAACCAGCAGCTCCCCACCCCCTCCACCACCATTTTGGATACTCCGCAGGGACGCGTTTTGGGGTTCCCACTGACTTCCAGGAAGGACGCGTGCCCTTCTCTGACCCCAGCTCGGGCGGCCACCTGTGTTTGCTGCGGTGACCCTTTGCCCATGACCCTGCGGTGCCTTGAGCCCTCCGGGAATGGCGCGGAAGGGACGCGGAGCCAGTGGGGGACTGCGGGGTCCGCGGAGGAGCCGTCCCCGGAGGCGGCGCGTCTGGCGAAGGCCTTGCGGGAGCTCAGTCAAACAGGTAGGGAGCGGAAAGGCAGCCGCGCGCGTGCGAGAGGGGGCGCTTCCCCAAAGTCACGGCTGGGGGCTATGCTGGCAGGGAGCGCAGCTGGGAAGTGGGGATGAGCTAGGAAGCAAAGAATGAGATGGAATAAACGTCCCCTCGTTTTCCGTCCCCGCCTCAGGGCGGGGGACAGCGGAGAGGGTGCCCGCACGGCCTGGATCCTTGGGAATGCGAAAGGAAAGTGGTTCTTGAGATACCAGGAGGGCGCAAGAAGGGCTCCTTGGAAACTGCCCCTTAGCGCACTGGAACCTTTAACTGCTTCCAGCGCTGCTCAGGAGTTGGCACTCGGGTTCGAGCCCTAGCTGGAGAAAAGTGCCTTCCTTTCCGTGGGGTGCCGAGTGGCGAGTGGGCGCAGGGCTGCCCGCAGCTTCTGCTGCATCCGGCTCCCGAGCGCAGCAGCCGCTGCTGCCGGGGCTCTTGGCGGCCAAGTTCAGGGGCCAACAGACAGCCGCGCAGCAGAGCTGTGAGGAGCGTGGTCCGCGAAGCCCCGCCGAGCTCGGGCTTTCCAGTGCAGTCCTGCGCTTTGCGCCCCTCGCCGTAGTCTCTCGGCATCCGGAAGGAGAAAGGAGCGAAAAAAATTCTGGCAAACCATGCAGGCTTACAGTATCTCTGGATCCTAAAAGCATGCATTTGGGGCAAAGTTGAAGTTTTGGTAGCGCTAGGGCGAGGGGACTGTTCCTTCACTTGTGGTTGTGGTCTTTCCGTGCGGGCCATGAGCTTCCCCTCAGCTTGGAGGGACCAGCAGATTCGGGGATCTGAGCAACCCCCCACCCCCACCCCAGGTCCCAGGAGAGGCATATTGTTCTAACTTCTTCATTGCAGAATGTCTCTAAGTCATTTTTGCAAACGGGATGGGTCCAGGAGATGGTGCAGGCAAATCAAATTAGAATGCTAGGGAGACCCACGGACGGTTGGGATTGGATTTGAATTAGGGCAAAGTCCAAAAGATTGTAAACTTGAAGTACTATTATCAGTTGGGGTTTCCCTCGTTTCTCAATGACTGATAAGGTAGTTGTAATTGAAGCAGCAAATGGAAGCTATTGTACCTAGAACTGCGTTTTTAAAACAAGTAAATGGCAGTGCTTTCTAGGGCTTTGAACAGAGATGCAGCCATAGACCGATTTGGGGGAGAGTAGGGGGACACCAACCATCCAGAAAGTTGCTTTTGGAGTTGGGTTTTCCACATGTTAAGGGCATGGCTTTTATTTTTAACTTCTGATTTATTTCTAATTACTTTAAATCTTCGATTTCACTTGAGTGGTGCTGGAAGCATCATGCTTTGTCAGCCAGTGTGTCATACATAATGCACATGGCTTGTTTCATTGGGAGAAAATCTTGATACTTTAAAGAACAGCTACAGAAAATTACTTAAGAAAAACTGGCTCACACTTTGTGTTCATAAAGAACATGGACCTACATTTTCATTAAATTTCTACTAAAAGTATTTATGGTAGCCCCTGGTAAACTTGCACTCACACACTTCTTTTTAAAACTAGAAAAAAATGTTGTCAGGTACTTGGCCCACTTAAAACATCCTTTATAATAACGATTTTACCCTCTTTTCTTTTTCCTTTTGAACAAAACCCCAGGTTGGTACTGGGGAAGTATGACTGTTAATGAAGCCAAAGAGAAATTAAAAGAGGCACCAGAAGGAACTTTCTTGATTAGAGATAGTTCTCATTCAGACTACCTACTAACAATATCTGTTAAAACATCAGCTGGACCAACTAATCTGCGAATCGAATATCAAGATGGGAAATTCAGATTGGACTCTATCATATGTGTCAAGTCCAAGCTTAAACAATTTGACAGTGTGGTTCATCTGATCGACTACTATGTTCAGATGTGCAAGGATAAGCGGACGGGCCCAGAAGCCCCCCGGAATGGCACTGTTCACCTTTATCTGACCAAACCGCTCTACACATCAGCACCACCTCTGCAGCATCTCTGCAGACTCACCATTAACAAATGCACCGGTACCATCTGGGGACTGCCTTTGCCAACAAGACTAAAAGATTACTTGGAAGAATATAAATTCCAGGTATAAGTGTTTCTCTTTTTCTAAACATGCCTCATATAGAGTATCTCCGAATGCAGCTATGTAAAAGAGAACCCAAACTTGAGTGACTGCTCTGGATAACTACATGGAATTCTAAGAACAGCTGAAACAATCTAACTTACATGTGTGACGAGGTAGCTAGGTCAAGTTCCCTCAGATAGTTTTACCTGAGTAATGCTTCCCTTCCTGAGGCTAAGACCAGTTGATCCTTTTCAGTCAAAAATTAAATGTCCCAAGTAAAGGCTGAAGTAACATTTTTATCAGAATGCCTTGCCTTTCTGAGGTTCCTTTCTTTTTGGTTGAAGGTCCAACCACCAGTAGTAGAGGAGCTCGGTGGAGAAGTACTGAGGAAGGAGAAGGAAACTGAGACAGGCTTAACTTCCATTCTATATGCCTGGTGATCTGAGTCTGTTTTGGACATGTTATATTTTGCATTCTGATGTAACTAGGGGTTTTATTGATCAGATATGCTTGTGAGTATTTATCCTTCATTTTATGCAATTAACGGAGTCAACCAAAAAAAGTAACCATGAAATCCTGTATTTGTCTTTTTACTACATGTATGAACTCTCCCATGTGAATGAGTACTGTAGTAATCCTTTTTAAGGGAGCCTTACTTCAGAAATATTTCAAACTGGTGCAAATGGAAAAGACTTTGTTTTTTCCTTTAAGGCTAAAGACAAGAATGCCATGCTATACAGGTGCAACTCAATCCCGGTTAATAAAACCATGTAGATAGAGACATTTTACCCTTTGAAGTAGCTGTGTCCCAACCTATTGCCATGGATTTTTTAGGAAATGGCTTTAGAAATTTCCAAGTTGTCCTTGAATTGTCTAACTATGGACATCAGCAGTTGTCTCCCTTCTACCATGTAGAAAACTTTGACTTAATTTTCTTCCAGATATAAGGGGATACCTGCCTGTTTTTCAAAGTGTTTATTTACTGCTGTTACTATTTGATTAGAATGTACTAAATAAAAGAAACCTGACTTTTACAAGTTGCGCTTATATTACTTTGAATTGTAGAAAACATATACTTTCGTGGTAGTAGGGGTTGCCATAAAAACTTATATCAAGTGGAATAAGCCAAATATTCAGCAAGAGGCAGAGCATTAATCGCCCTTCTCTGAAGCTATGGGTCCTACTTGCCCTTTGCATTTTGGAAAGCTTGGTTTACAAACTATAAGACTTGCCAAGGGGCCCTTTTACGAGTTGAACAGGCATAACACAAATGCCCTTTGTATTTCCAAAAACATGGTTTAGAAAATACAAAAATTGTGACATATACTAGTCTTTCAGCGGTTGAGTAGACATAATACAAAAATTAAAAAGTTTTATAACCATTTTTTTTTTTTGCCACATGACTGTTAAAAATGTACCATCTTTTGGTGTCCAGATGTTACTCGTTTGCCAACTTGAAAAATTTTTTCCTGCATAGCTACATATAATGGTGTGACACTGGGAAGGTGAGCCCAGTGAATCATGTGTGTCCCAAGTGAATTATGCTAAGACGGAAGCATATCATTGATGCTTATAAATTATAGCAAAATCTGCTTAAATATTTTCACGAAGCTCTTGAAAAATGGTTTAGTGCCTGCGTATTCAAACAGCAGAGCCAAACACAAAAGATTGCTTGGTGTGCCTTCGAAAGAATTAATTTGTAGCCTAAAAGTTGAAGTTACTTTTAGGGTCTGGTCTATGACCAGGAGTTAACCTTTTCATTAAGAGGTTCAGGTTCTGTGCATTATTTACCCTTTTTCTCCACTGAAAACAGTTGTCTAGTGTGGGACTTTTCTGGCAAAACTTCCACATAGCCAGTGCCATGGGTCTTTGTGGGATTTCTTTGTCTTTCACACTTCTCATTGTTTCAGACCCTGCAGTTTTTTCTCAGTTATTGAGAATTGGATGCAGTAGTGGGGTAATAAGTACCCGCGGAACTGTGGAAAGTTCTGCGTTATTGCCAGCAAGTGACTAATTATGAGAAAACCAGAAGATAGACAAGACATCTCGAATGCCCTGTGGAACTATTGCCTTACATTTCAGTCTTCCCTGTTTCAAGTACGTTGATAAATATTAGAGATGGTCTCCTCTCTCTCTCTCTCTTTTGTTTTTGTTTTTTACAATTACTAACATTATTTACTTACTGAGTTTATTGTGTGCCAAGTTCTTACTCAGCCCTTACCTGCATTATCTCATTTAATCCTCACACAGACCTAATGAGCAAAGTACAGTGATCACAGGAGCTACGCATTCTGATTTGTGAGTGAGGAGGCATTCCAGGAATATCCTAGCCCTTTTTACTTCTGGAATTACAAAGAGCAAATTGCTACTATTTCTACGTTGATGCAGACGAACATGTTAGAGCAGGCTATAAAAGGAGCCCTCAGCATTTTTATTGCTGCCTCAACCGGAAAAGTATAGGTACCTTGATTAGTGTTGTGCTCTGCGGGATTTCAGCCAGCTGGGCCCAGTGGTTTTCTCTGGTGCAGCGGTGGGTTGGGAGGGAGTTCACTGTTTTACTTGGTGGCTGGTACATGATTCCAGTTACCAATTATTGGTAGCTCCATTTTATAGACAATTGAACAAAAAGTTTAAGATGTATACTTGCCTAAATTATCCTCAACAGTGTGAAGAAAAATATCTAGGGATCTCTTTCTGTGCAGGACAGTTTTGCACATTAATAAGGGGATGTATTATTGCTAGTGTTGAAGAATATAGTATTCAGGACTGACCTATATCCCCACAAACTTAAAGTGCTTTGATCTGAGTTTCCAATTGGGAGCCGAGTTGAGGCAGAGGGGCTTTTCATTCTGTCAAAGTGGGCACTGGAGACTGCTTTTTAGGGAGTTGGGTATTTTTTGTTTTGTTTTCAGGGCTTTGGACCGTGGAGAAAAGGCAGTTCAGCTTATGAACTGAGAGTTCTTTTCTGGCTGTCAGTAAAAGAGTCGACTTCATAGTAATTATGTAATCCAAATAGGTAAGAGAATGGTGCAGTTGTTTGGGAGTGTTTATTTTCTTGGGAAGGATTTTCTCTGCTTTTAGAAAATTGTACCCTGGTAAAAGGGTAAGAGACAGAGACGTCATCAAATAATCCACGGGATGGAATGTCCTGAGACCAGGCCGTGTTCCGCTCCGTGTGGGGAGGCGCAGGGTGGCGGGGCTGAGTGGCTGTAGTTACATCGGACAGCTGGGCTCAGGCCTCTCGGCTCCCAGTGGTCATTTCTAGCCTTTGGAGCAAAAAAGTGTTGTCATTCATTCTAGGCCTTTTGTTTACTAAGGGGCCCGTGTTCTCCCATTTTTCCAATCATGTATTTTAGCTTTTTCATTTTACTGAAGACTGTCAGACCCAGGGAAGTCAGGAAATTGTCGTGTCTATGCACACAAACACAATTTCCAGCAAATCGGTGGGAGAGTCCTTGAATGCATATTTCAATTTCGTGTTTGTAAAAACCGCACCCTTCTACTCTGTTTAAATTGTCACTACTCTGTTTCAATACCCTGTAAAGCCCTGCAGTTTTTTTAACATCACATTTTTCTTCCTCTGAAATTTGACGGCCGGTCTTTGGAATACCGTGCGGGGTAATTCTAATTCCTGGCTCCTTTCGCCCCACTTCAGATAATTGGCTCCTGCTGGGTTTCAGGGTGTCTTGATCCACAGTAGAGTCTTGCATTCATTTTAACTCCTCCATGTTTCTAACCTATTTGCTGTTTTAATGTCTAAAACCTGCCATCCACGCTCTTTTATGATTTCATTTCTGTCTCTGCCAGGTGTGACTCACACACAGCCACGTCCGGGTGACTGCCCACCTCCTGTCCGCACCAGTGGAGCCCATTCTTGCTTTTGCCCGCTCATGGGCATAATGGCACAGTTAATTCCTGCCTCACTTTCTCCCTTTTGTGTCATTAAGTTGACCTTTTAGCTCCTCTAACAGCCCTGCCGGCCATCTTCTACTCCAGTGAAAGAGGGTCATTATATTCTCCTTGGGGTAATTGAATGATTTAGAATACCTTGAGATTAAATATGTCTCTTAGTCTCTCTCTTTGATTCCTTTCAGGTTTTGAAACAAGTAGCCAGCCCCAAATACCACACTTTTGTTATGTGCGTGTTTTACTTTTTTTCAAGTGTCAGAGGCTCCGTCTGAAGTTGCATTTCATTTGATTGGAATGGAAATGCCCTCCATTCTGTCCTTCTGCTTGTCTACCTGTAAGAATGATTCTGTGATAGTCTTGTTTCTGTGATAGTCTTGTTTCACTACGTTGGCATCTATTTTCTTTATTTCCATCTTCACATATTTTTTTTTTCTATGTGGCTTGAATTCAGGTTACTTAACCTTATTACCAAAGTACAGTAACAGCTGTTACTACAGTAGCCTTTCAGAGCCCTGGAGTCCCCAGTGTCTAGATAGTCAGTACGCCGAAATCATGGAGCAAAGCTGGATATTCCTTTCCACCCCTCCCAGAGCTTTAACAAGAGGCTGGATCCGAAAGGTGTTGTCACAGAGAATGGGTTCACGTCAGTAAACGTTCAGCGAGCCATAAAAATAAAACTGCTTTCACAGACAGTCTCACTTGGAACTACATCCTTAACTTACAGGAACTTCGACTTGCCCTAGAGATCAGGCGCACGTTTTGTGAACCAGTATTCATATGGTGCTGTCTCTGTTGCAGACAGGGAAGGGGAAGGCAAGCCCGAGCCCTAGAGAGGGAAGAAACATGGCCCGCTGCCTTCCTCTTCTGTCTGAGGATAGATACCACACAAGGCGCCCTCCCATTTCCATGGTGGAGAGAGTGAGACTTCATCATGGAACTCCATAAAATTTTTCTGTATTTCCCCAGTTTCCAAGCATGTTAAGATAAAAATTTATATTTTGCTAAACAAGTTTTCCCTTCTATTAGTTTTTTTTTTTTTTACTGTTTAGATTTTGGTTCGGAGAGCTGCTATGATCTTTAACATTTAAAAGAATATTTTCCTTGTTATTTCTACCCAGAGAAGTTGTTTGATTTCCCATTTTAACCTCCCCTCTCCCATCTTGATGAATCCGACCCTTCTTGGGTTTCCAGCCCAGTTTATTTCTCCTCTTTGCTGTTTCCAGATGGTGGTCATCAATACTATATTTGGTCAGAAAGTGTGTTTGCATTTTGCACATTTGATTAGGGCATCTGCTTTTAGTTATCTGCAGTAATAGGGGCAGAGAGAATGAGGTAATTGAAACTCAACAAACACATCTAGCTAATGCTGGTTTCGACTTTCTCCCCATTCAATCTCCTTTGCTTGCACCACTGATAGAAAAATTACCTGCTTCTTTGTTCACTCGCTTTATTTTCCCTGCCCATCAGACAATGAGGATGTTAATAAACAACAAAGTGACTAAAAAGATGGCAAGATGAGAAAATTGAGGAGGCTGGAGAATCAGTGGGCTGAGAACTCCTGAGAGGCAGTTGTTAAACATACTACTTGGGGATTTTGTGAGCTAAATCACTCTGGGTAAATCACTGGTAGATAGAAATCGGCCACGGTGGGAATATTTACACTGTGGAAACCAGCAGATGCTACAGATGAACACCTTTCGGCCCCTTGGTGAGGAAGGTCTTTGTGAAAAGGCTGACGAGGAGAGCAGAGGTGAGCAGGGACGGATCTTGCCTTGCGGAAGAGCTTGGAATGTATCCAGAGGGCCATGGAAAAAGCTTTTTAAAATGGAATAACTGAACTAGGTTTGTATTTTATATCCTCTGGAGGCCCTTTGGAAATGGATTGGAAAAAAGCAAGAGTTCCTTTTTAGGCCCCGCTGGTGTGGCTCAGTGGGTTGAGCATCATCCCATGCACCAGGAGGTCGGTCGCTGGTTGGTCCTGGTCAGGGCACATGCCCAGGTTGTGGCTGGATCCCTGGCAGGGGGCATTTGGGAGGCAGCCAACTGATGTTTCACTCTCATCAATGTTTCTTTCTCTCTCTCTGAAATCAATAAAAACTTTTTTTGTTTTTTTTAAAAGGAG